CAAGCTGTTTGGGTCCAGCCCCTTTAAGGCAACTTTCCTTAATGATGTCTATGCATTTCCCAGTTCAGGATTTTAGCAAGGGCGACACTAACAGCGGCAGCGGCAGCAGCCGCAATGTTTATTAAGCACTCCATGGGTGGCAGGCGGTGTAGGTAGCACTTTGTATGAATTGTCTCATTTAATCCTCGCAACAAACAAATGGGGCAGCTAAAGTCAGGGAACAGTGTCTAAGTCCACTCCCACTTCCGTCACCAGTTGTGCAGATTTGGGGTCATTAAGACCACCCTCAGTTTCGATATTTTTCTAGAAGGGCTCACAAGATCCCTGAAAGCTGTTACACTCACCGTTAGAGTTCGTTACAAGGGGATTAAAATCAGCCAGGGGAAGAGGCGTGTAGGGCAGAGTCTTGGGAAGTTCCCACTGTGGATCTTGCAGTTGCAGTTGCCCCCTCCCAGTCGGGTCACAGAAGCACCAACTTCTCCCGGCACCGATGTGTGACAGTATGCGCAGAGCATTGCCAACCAGGGGAGCTACTGAGCCTTGGTGTCTAGAGTTTTTACTGGGACTTGGTCACTTAGGCATGGCTATCCTCAGCCTCCAGCCCCTCCAAGATTGAGCTGTGACGACCTGAACCCCGTCCCTGAATCACACTGTTAGACTGTCTGGTGTGGCCCAAGACACCCAGGTAGACAAAGACGTGTTTGTTTATCAGGCAGGACTCTCCAAGTGCTTAGAGATCACCTCCCAGGAGCCAGGGGCAAAGACCAGACCTCTCTCTGGGCCAGGTTAAATTCTTCACTGCACAGGTGGAGGCTGTAATTGTTTTCCATTTTATAGATGAGGAAGCTGAAGTTTCAAGAGGTTAAGTGACACCTTGCAGTTGGTGAGACTGGATCACAAGGCAGGGAATATGATTCCAGAGGCTGCCCTTTTAACCATGGTATCTTAGAAAGATATTGAAAAGAATGATCTGTACTTGACCAAATGGTTAATTGAGACATAAATACACATGCTATCAAATAAATCCTAGTCAGATAAACTTACAGCATAACTCTGATATTAATGGGCTGTCCTTTCATCTCGAGAGGAGCGAGGAAACCATCCATCTCGTCCTTTATCTGTTTGGCCAAGGTCATTCTCGACCACTTGCGTGACCGTCAGAATTGCTCGTCCGAGCGCGGGCAGTGCGTGCCCGGATGCCCCCACGCTGCCTGTGTCTGCGCTTGCTCAGCGTTCAGCCTTCAAAGTCTCCATTCACGTCATTTATAAGGCTCTAGCTATTTCTGTTCTTTAATTGCCAATTCCACAACGCCAGGGCGAGACTTTCCTCCCATGCAAATAAATGCATTTGAAAATGCTCACCACAAAACATTTTTTCTGCAAAATGCCCGTGAATGCTTCTAATTGTTTCTTTCCTGCACTGCCATCTTTGAAGAGCACTAAAAAATGAACCGCCAGTGCTTCCGCTCAGGTGGCGACTGTGAGGGACTCCCTCCCTGCACGCGGGGGCAGCGTCCTGTGCCGCCTTCCCTCCCCACAGCCCCGGCTGCAGCAACTGTAGTCACACACTGGCTGCATTGCTTGGGTTTTGCAGGGACTGTTTATGTTAGCTCTAGTGGCCATATTTTCTCAGCCAAAATTTGGGACACATGGCCCAGCCAGGATGACGGTACATATGGGTACACAGGACACAATATTTCTTTCCCAGAAAACTTGAGACATATGGTCTCCATATGTACAGAGTATATGGCCTCTTTCATGTCTCTTCACCGATGCATTTCTAGTCACATGAATATGTAACAATAGTAATGTGGTTTTTATAGCCTCTCTGTCAGGGGGCTTTGCATTTGGAAAAGATAGTCATCATTTCTGTTTATGGCAGAATTACTTCTCCATTTAGTGACCGGCTTTACATTATAAGTTATGTATCTTGGTTTTGATGTTCTTCGGCGAATATATTTTCTTACTTCTATTTAGGGATCTGTGGTCTGTCTAGGCCCCAAAAAGAAAAAAAAAAGGGCTGTGTGTATTCATTTGATCTGAAAATGTCTGTGGAGGAGGTTTGCTTGGTGGCGCATGAGTAGGTATGTAGGAGGAAGCTTTGGGAAATAGATGAAAGTTTATGAAGTCATTTCTCCGTTGGGGTCAACGAAAATGGGTATTTTGAAGGCGGAATAAGTGATAAATGAAGGGAGGATGAGAAAACAGCAGAAAGTGGAAAACATAATGCTGTGGGGGGTGTTTTCTTCTGTGCAGGTGCCTACCCTCCAGCCTGCTCCCAGGTGGCTAATGGACAAAGCAAATAAACAGGGGCTCCAATCCACAGAAGGGCGCACAGCGGAGCTAGGGAGTGGAGCAAGCGCGGATGACGCCCGGGACTGCTAACGAAATGTGTCTGAGCAAAGAAATGCTCGGCGCCAGGAGCACTTACCAATACAAATTCTGCGAGCAGCGATTATGACATTCTAGTGGTCAGAGATAACCTCCAAAGTAAGCAAGAGATGATGTATATGATTGGAATAACTAAAACAAGAGGCTTCCAGAAGAAAAATGGCTCCTTCCAGCAGTTACACCAAATGGGACAGCTCGCCAGGAGTGATGAGTGGCCTCCAGGAGCGCGGGCTTCAGGCGTCACCTTGACCTTCAGAGAGCACGCGGACTCTGGGTCGGAAGTACCGGAGAGAGTGATGAATGCCGCTGGAAACCCTCTAATATTTTTCTCTTCCATTAGGTTGTTTTTAAAACTGAACATAAGCTCCGTCCAAAATCCTTTGGTTTTTGGTAACACCATCAATTATCTGGTCTGTCCAATGCAGTCTTCATTCTCCCACTGGGCCACCGAGGCCATTTTCTCCGCCGTTTCCTTCATTCTGTGAAGGGAAACGGTCACAGCTTTGCTTAAAACTTGTCGGTCATTTCCCGTGATTCCTAGGATGAGGGCCGAGAACCCTCCACGCAGCCTGCGTCCCCCGTGCCTGATTCCCCCGCCGGGCCCCACCGTCCTGAAGCCTCTGCCCACGGCTCCCAGACCGCCACACCCGCGCCGACGCTCACGCCAGGGAGCGAGTCTTTCCCTTCTTACGCCGGCTAACTCCTTCGCCCGTCCAGTTTCTGCCTGTGTGTCACCGGCAGGAAGCCTGCTCTGACCCTCAAGCCCAGGGAAGGTCACTCTGCTCTAGATTCCCGTAGCGCTCTGAGCACTTTCCTTATGGTATTTAAACACATGTGACTGTCGTTCTCCTCCTCTCGACTAAGCTCTGCAAGGCCAGAGGTGCCGTCTTCTTCACCGTTGCATCTTCAAACCTAGGACATCGATCGCTTGGTATGGAGCATGGTGTAGACTCTGTGCTCATAATCTCACGTGGAGCATGGTGTAGACTCTATGCCTGTCTTTTGGTATGGAGCATGGTGTAGACTCTGTGCTCATGATCTCACGTGGAGCATGGTGTAGACTATGTGCTTGTCCTTTGGTATGGAGCATGGTGTAGACTCTGTGCTCATGATCTCACATGGAGCATGGTGTAGACTCTGTGCTTGTCCTTTGGTATGGAGCATGGTGTAGACTATGTGCTCATGCTCTCACGTGGAGAATGATGTAGACTCTATGTTTGTCTTTTGGTGTGGAGCATGGTGTGGTCTATGTGCTTGTCCTTTGGTATGGAGCATGGTGTAGACTCTGTGCTCATGATCTCATGGGGAGCATGGTGTAGACTCTGTGCTCATGATCTCATGTGGAGCATGGTGTAGACTCTGCTCATCCTCCAGCATGGAAAATAGTGCAGACCATGCGCTCGTGGTACGGAGCATGGTGTTTTGTATATATAGAACCACTGCATGGTCTGGAGTATGTATTCAACACATTTTCTAGAAGGAATGAATACTCCTGCTCCCAAACTGGCTGCTTTCAGGGACGGAGGCCCCGTGGAACCGGCCCGCGGAGCTCTGCAATGCCGAGTGTTGAGACGGCTCTCCTCTCCGTTTCTCAGCTTCCCAGGACAACGACTCCGCGGGCAATACACCAGGGCCTCTGCTTATCTAAGGAAACTCTGGCGTTTATCTTCTTGCTTTTGAAGGTGGGAGCCACCTTGATGTTCGTTCGCAAGCGCCCGGTGTGAGCAAACACGAAAGCTGGGGGGAGGAGAACTAAAACGTGGAGGCAGGAGAGAGGCTGGGAGGCAGTGTTGACGGGGTGTGCGTGGCGTGGCACTGCTTTGCCTACGCCCTGCGCATCGGCTCGCGGAGTCCTCCCAGCAGCCCTAGGAGGGAGGGGCTGTTATATCATAACCCACACGTCTCAGATGGGGAAACTGAGGCATGGAGGGAAAGTAGCTAGCAAATGTGGAGGAAGGATTTAAATCAATCTTTATAGAGGCTGCGAAATAAAATAAAATAAGCCCAGTCGGTCTACATTCATAACCTGTGTTCTTGCTCAGGGCGCCAAACTGCCCCTCGTAAGAGGAGAACCCTTCGTCCAGACTTTCTTGCTTGATTCCTATGCTTTCTTTTCCCAGGAGGGCGGCTGTACCCGGCTGTGCTCTGAAACCTGAGCGGCATCCTTCCACTAGGTGCTGTGGTTGACACTGGAGACGCGGAGTTTAGGAACACTTCGTTTCTACCTAGAGGCAGGCGCGTGCAGCTGTCGGTCTCTCTATATTAACGTGGCACATTTATCAGTGCGTGTGTCCCGATCAAGATCCACGCATCTGTCTGCCTCTCCGGTCACGCGTTGGGCCCTAGAGGTAGGGAGTGGAATGGAAGTTTTCACAGGCTATTACGCCCATGCCCCAGAAGGGGTTAGTGAATGAGCATCTCTGACAAAATGCGGGAGAAGGAATCCTTCCTGAGGAGTTAACGTCTGGACCTGGAAGGAGAAAAGTGAGTTCGGCAGGCAAGTACGGCGAGAAGAGCGACGGAGGACCGGCAGCGGGCGAGGCGGTGGGGTCCAGTGGAGGCTCCGCGGGGCGGGGCGGCCGTGGGAAGGGCGTGGGAGGGCAGACAGGGGGCCAAGCCGGAGGGTTGTAAATCTGGATTTTCATTCAGAGTGAGGGGGCCACGGCGTCTGTGGGCAAAACTGGCCTTGTCTCTCGCCAAGATAGCCAGGCCCCTGTGTGGAGGGGGCCCGAGTGGGCTGCTGGGGCCGGGGTGAGTCTGCCCGCACAGCCGCTGGTCTCCAGGCCGCAGAGGGACAGGCTCGATTCCCACCCTGGCGCGTCCTGCGTCGGAATGGGTCCGACACCCTCCGTGGGCCTCACAGAAGGTCACCCGGGCAATTTGCCTGTGTCGGGGCTCTCTTCGAGGTTTGAAACGCCTGCGTGGCGATACCTTCCTTGACATAGAGATGCACTTAGTACGCAGCCAATGGACACTTTGCTGGGGTCAGCCGTGAGGAGGGACCATCCCGGCCTGTGGGGTCTCAGGGATGGCGGGAGAGGCCTGGGTCCTGCTCTGCCTCCCTCCTCCCCAAGGCCTCGGCCTCGGAGCCCGCTCCCCTCGGCCCGTCTGTCCGAGCCCCGTGTCTGAGCCCCGGTGAGCGGGGAGCGCTGGCCCTGCCTCCCCCAGCTCGTAACTCCATAGCGGGCGACTGACGGGTCCCGAGCTCCCCCCAGGACATCTGTGGGGACCTGAAAGCTCGACCTGCCGACCTCCTCCGCGTCCTTCCTCAAGGTCGGCTCCGAGACAGACCCCAGACCCTGCCTGTGGCCCCCGCCCCCAGAAAGACGCAGGGCACATCCAACACGGCACGGGGCTGGCCGAGCGTCTGGGGCCGTGGGCGAGGCAGCGCCGCACCCTTCGCCCCGCGGCCTCTCCCTGGCCTTCTCTCGTCCTTGGTCTTCTCATGAATCCCGACCTTCATCCTTCTCTTATGAGAAAAAAATATATGTACACATATCAGCTGTTCTAGCTTCTGTTCCCAGACCTGGCTAGCACACTCTTGTGGTGCCCAGCAGCACAGAAGGCCTTTCTTCCTATCCGCGCTCCTCAGGGGGCAGCTTTGACTGTGACGAGCAATTCCTACCGAACGATGGGCGAGGAACGTCAAAAGTGGGCAGATGACCAGGCTGCGTGTGCCGTGCTTGCGTGCACGCATTTGTGTGTGCGTGTATGCGTGTGCGACGTGTGTTTACACGTGTGTGCATAAACAGCCAATGTCCCGAGAAGTGTAAAAGGGACCACATTTTGAAGCGGAAGTGAGTTTTCAGGCTCTTGAGAGGGTTTCAGAGCGGCGGTAACTCGTGTCGGGGGAGCGGCTGCCGGGTCGGAGAACGGAGGAAGCTTCCGACAATTCACGTGGAGCAGCTGCCGCCGCCGCCGCCATCTCTGGCATGCACGCTGAGCTGGGTGGCCCCTGCAAAACACGCGTGCCACAGGTGGCTCTCCTTGGCGCCCGCCCCTGGGCCCCCATGTGGTTCAATGCCTGGGCGTTGGAGTCAGCACTGCCACGTTTTCCTCGTCTGTAAGCCGGGGGTGATAAATATCCACCGAGGAGGTTGTACTCAGCGCTGACCTAGAGCGACAAGGTCTGCACGTTGCTCCGTGCATGTCTGACTTCGGGCAGCGCTAAGGGATGTCAACGGCATGTGGCAGGTAAGTGCACGTGCTCTGGCCTTGGACTGCCTGGCTGTGTGATCGCGACTAAAATAAGTAACCTCTCTGTGCCTCGGCCGCTTACCCCAGAGTGAGTGAGTCAGTTTCTCCCTCGCGGTGGGACGTGACCGGTGTCAGGCACCTAGGGTGCGTCCTGCCGCAGGGAGTAAGCGCCGGAGAGAATTAGTGGAATGATGTTAACCCCGGGAGCAAAGTCGGACTTCGCGGAAAACTGACTCGAGGATGAGTGCCCACAGCTGGAAACCCTCATTCCACGATTGTCTTATTTTCAATTTGATGACTTTTGAGCTATTTTTTTCTGGTCACAAATAATTTCTGTGTATTTTATTTACATAGCACTTGTCAGTTTATTATGGGGGTGCAGAGACAAGCGAGCTATTTTAGGTCTAAACAGTATTTTTGTTCTAAAGCAGTAAAGAGGGGAGGATGAGCCTACCCCAAAGCCGAAAACCGGCTAGGCCGTGCGGGTTCCGGCTGGCCCTCCCGCCCTCGCCAGCGCGGCGTGGCAGGTGGACCCGGACGCCTTGCGAGTGCGGCTCTGGGCGCATTTCAAGTACAAACCCGCCTCCCCGCTCATCGATCTTGGGAACGGTGTTTGGCCGCCCCCCAGCACAGGGGCCAGATCCAAGTGCACTCTGTTCCCTGGGGTCGTGCTGTGAGCAAACCAGGCAGGCAGGGCGGGAGGGCGCTCCCCAGGGAGGTGAGGTCACCTGGGCGCAGGTACACCGGCTTCTTGCTTTAAGGGTGAATGGCCGCAGCTGGCAGCGTCTCGTGACCTGAGGGACGGTGTTAAAGGAGGCCACTTCCATTCTCGCTTTTGACAAAGGAATGTACGTTTTGGAATCTGGTTTCAGATGCAACGTTATTTCAGGACCAAAAATAAAAAGAAATCTGGGTGCAGACCAGGCCAACCTGGCAAGAGTTTAAATGGAATCTGACATACAGAGTGAAGTTAAATGTTTTGGGGAAGGCTTTAAGGTAAAGATATTTCCCTTTGATTATGTAATTGTTTACCCAACTGCATGGGGCATAAATATGAGTTGCTGTTCTATGTCTTGGGGGAGAGAAATCCAATTTGATCTCTTTTCATGCAGCATGTTCATTTTCACAGGAAGATTCAATTATTCCCCCACTTACAAGGCTATAAATGAGTTTGCTGGGCCGGTTCCTGACACAGGCTCGCTCATCATTATTCAGATTAGTTTTCACTTTTCTAAACTGGTCTTCTGCCTACTGCTCCTGGAGCCCGGCCAGCATTTCGGAAGAGGATTAAATAATCCTTCTCTCACAACTTCCTACATGTTGTGCTATTTTGTTCTTCCCCAAATGTCACCCTCTGCTCACACGCGCGTTTCCTGTGGGTGAGGCTTTCGAATGTCCCCGCGGCTGGCTTCTCCCTGGACGGTCAGGCCGCAGCGGGTCGGCCCGGCTAGAGGCAGAGGTTTTCCTGAACTCGAGCCCAGGGCCGTTTCCAGCCCCTGCAGGCGGAAGCAGTGTTTACACAGGCGTGGGTGGGCTGTGCTTTGTCAGAGAGTCCATGGGAGGAAATCCCCGGGTCAGAGAGACACAATGAGGACACCTGGAACAGAGCGGGCGGCTTAGGCAGCTAAAGGGAACCTGTTGCAGGTTTGCACAGGGGTGGCTATTTAGGCTGCTATCTCCCTCCACTCCGCTAGTAACAAACTCACCCTAAAGTACTTCAGAAGCCTCCAAAGTGCGCGGAGGACTGGGGGTGGAAACGGGAAGGACGGCATGGACTCTGCACTGGGTGTGGCGCATGCGTAAGGCAATTACACCTGCACGGAGAAGTCGGATAACCTTTCCCATTCCCCTTCCACCCCATGAAGTGGAATCTTCCTATCTCCACTTTCCCCACCTGGCTCAAGCAATCCAGGCAAATTCCAGCCCATTAGACTCGTAACAGTGTCTCCCGGGACTTGGCTTTTAGCATCGCTGAGCCAACTAGGCTGCCGGGTGAGCCCCTCCTTGAGCGTGTGAGTGTGGGGGCGTCTTCCCGCTTCTTCCCCTCACTCACATTTTCCAAATCCGTCTTCGGGGTACAAATCCCTGGGTATCCCCGCTTCTCACTCTGGCCCTGGGCTCGAGCGGCACATGGTCATCACCTGGGGAACTCCGAGCTCCTGTCAGAGCCCAGCCTGGCCCCCAGGGATGCCCAAGGCAGCGGGGTCAGATGCTTCTCAGGAGGTGCTGGGATTCAGAACAGGCGAGCCGATGTGCAGCTCAACCCTTGGCCGCTTTTGTCCTCAGCGTTCAAAGACTCAAAGGATCCAGAGAAGGGGCCGGGGACTTTTGTGAATATGGACAACCAAACAGATACGTTGCAGGACAGCAGCTGACATGGCAGAGGCAGGGAGGCTATCCGGAGGTGTGGCATCTGACCAGAGCAGGGTTTTAGGCGGAGGGGTGTTTGGGCGGTGGGCGCAGCAGGTGCGGAGTTGTGTGTGAGTCAGCACGTGTTTGGGAAAGGCCTTGAGCGGTGGGGGGACAGCCATGCAGCGTGCAGGGTGGGTTAGGCAGCAAGGGCCTGGCACCAAGCCCAGGTGTGTGTCCTTGGACAGAGGGGCTGGTGAGACACAGAGGAGGTGGTGTGGTCCACTTGCTCCCTAAAATACTAGCTCTGGTTTGACGTGGAGGATGCGCTGGGGGCGGAGGGGCTGGCGAGAGGAAGGGGAGGTCGGAGGCTGCTGTGAGCGGGGCATGGGCTGTGGCTGGGGGGGGGCAGGTGGAGATGCCTGGTTCTGAGGGGGAATCTACCCATCTTCAAAAATGACTGGGCTTCACCCTCAAAGGAGGCACATCCTGCATTTGGGGGCCGGGCACCTGGGTAGTGCCATGAGGTGGGAAACGGGAGGCAGCCCTCTTCTTTTTCTTTCTTTTTCAGGAAAGAAAAGAAGCTCAGATTTGGGTTTCTTAAGCTGAAGGCACCTGCAAGGCACCACAGAGGAGACGGCAGGTAGGAGTTTGCAAGGTGTCACCTGAGGGTGCAGACAGAGCTGGCGCTGAGGGAGGACTGGAGGCCCAGGTGGGGGCAAGGTTACCCCAGCGGAGAGGTCATTGGGATGGGGAGCCTCGGGGAGACAGCCGGGGAGGGGCGTTCAGAGAAGAGGAGGAGGAGGCAGCTCTGCAGAAAGCATGGGTGTGTCTCCTGTCCCAGACTGCGTCCCCAGGCACGCTCGACACCTATGTTTCACAGCCTTGACAGCATGCCCACCCGGTGCCTTGCAGGAAGCTGGGATGTCACATGTCACATCAAGCTCTTCATCTTCCCTCCCTCTCAGGGAGCTCCCTCTGGGCTCCTCAGTGTTCCTGCCAGACACCTGCAGGGAAGCCTCATCTAAGTCACTCACCGGTGGCTCTCCCTGCACCTGCGAATATGCCTCCCGGGCCTCCCGTTGTCACCACCTGATTCAAAGGTGACCCTGCAGCACCTTCCAGCTCTCTCACTCCATCCACTGCCCCCCACTGCTGGGCAGGGGTCCACAAGCACCTTCAGGAATGGCTTAAAAAATGCAAACCTGGGCATGTGTCTCTCCTGCTTGCCAGCCTCAGTGGCTCGTTCTGACCTTGATACAGTTCAGAGTCCTTCCTGGAGGGAAGAGGTCCCACCAGGCAGCCCCTCTCCTTCTCTGCTCCCACCACCCCTGAGGACAGAGCCAGACCTGCTGTCTCAGTTCCTGCCGGGGCCGCCGTCTCTGCGCTTGGCTTCCTTGGCATGTCTACCACCCCCCCTCCTTATTCTAGTGAACTCCTACACAGTCTACAAGTCCCCACCAGAACGTCATTTCTTCAGGAAGTTTTACGCATTGTCTTGAGGCAAGAGAAGCACCCATCCGATGAACCCGCGGAGCTCTTCCTTCTCCTTACAGCACGCAGGTGTACGGAGTGTCTGAGGTGCATGCGCACACCTGCTCGTGCATGGGCTGTCCGCACCAGACTGTGCGCTCACTGAGGAAGGGAATCAGGTTCATCGCACCCTTTGTGCATGGCACCATCCTGAGTGTGCTTAAAAACATTTGCATTAAAATTATTAGGTTACAAATAATGCACATTGGATATGCACTAAAAACATAAAAAAAATCAAGTAGCTAAAAAGGAGATTAAACAAGTAGAATAGTGGTTGAAAACTAAGCAACCAGATTGGCCAATTAGGAGGTCACTGCGACTTCTATGTTCGGTGTCAACAAAGTGGTGGAAGGAGAAGCAGGTTTTACAGGGTTGAGGAATGACTAAAGGGTCAAGAAAATGGCAACAGCATTCTCTGCCCTTCCTCCGTCAAGAACTTGTCACCACCCTTCACTGTTCCCTTTTTCACTTTTCTGACCTCTTATTTCTTAATAATAGCAATGAGAGCAGCTATTCATTCACCACCAGGCTCAGATCTCACCCAGTCCAGGCCCTTTTCACTGCTCCTCAGTTCCTGCACGGTCTCCCAGCTGTCCCCATGGCTGCTAGTGCCTCTTGTTCCCGGTGTCAGATTGGGTTTATGAAAATGCTGGTTTCATTCTACAAATCCGTTGCTTGAAAAGCTTCTGTAGTAGCCTACGCGTGGTGTTCACAGCAAGCTGTGATCTGGTTCTCGACTAACTGTCCAGATTTAGCTCCCTGTCCCCCGACACCCGTCCCACTCTCTGCTCTTTCCCTGCTCTGGGCTCCGACTTTAGTTCACCGAGCAGAGCCTGTGTCATGCCCCGGTCAGTCTTTCCCTCCCAGCCGCTCCCACCATGGCCTTTCCTTGGAGGTCCAGATTGGTCCGACGTCACTAAGAAGTCTCCTGAGGCCACTTTAGCCCGTGGTGATCTCTGCTCACTGACCACACTTGCTGTCTACACCGTGTGAGCACAGACACCCTCACAGCGCGTCATTTTAAAATTGTGCTTCCACGCTCCTAAAGGCGGGGGCCTGGGTCTGCCGGGGCTGGGCGAAACCACATGTTCTATCTCCCGTGTGCCCCCCGGGATTGCCCCTCTGCACAAGCACGGCTGAGCAGCCCCACCCGCAAATCTGAAATGCTTGGAGGTCTGAAACTTTTTGAGCGCCACCATGACACTCAAAGGATACGCTCACTGGAGCATTGTGGATTTCAGGTTTTCAGGTTGGAGAAGCTAAGTATAATGCAAATATTCCAAAATCAGAAAAAATTCTGAAATTTGAAACACTTCTGGTCCCGAGCATTTCAGATGAGGGACGCTCAGCCTGCAGCAGATAGATCCCCAGTGTTCAAGCAAGAGAAGACTTAAAAACCTGATGTCAATTAGAGGGGCTGTGTGACAAGTACAGGTTTAACATCGTGTATGTACAGGAGATTGAGTCTCTGCGGACAGGCAGATTGGCTTGGAGGTGGCAGTGAGAAGGGTCCACTTGCAATGTAGTCAATCGTAGTTATTTTAACCCTTTAAAAGTCTTTAGAACAGTAAGTGCGAGGCAGGAGCTTTTAGTCCAGGGTTTCTCGATGGGCTCTGTTGACATTCGGGGCAGGAGAACTCCCTGGTGCGGGGCTGTCCTGGCCACTGCGGGATGTGTAGCAGCATCCCGGGCCTCTTCCCACTTTGTGCCAGTGGCATTCCTTCAGTTGTGACAACCGAATTGTCTCCAGACATTGCCAAATGTCCCCTGGGGTGGGGAGTGGAGCGACTCCCAGCTGAGAGCGACTATTCCAGCCAGAAGTTTTAGACTGTGCGATTTACCCACTTGGAAGAGGCGGGTTGATCCCCACATTAGCTCCGTGGTGGGAAGACAGGCCTTCTGTCCCCATGTCCACGAGTGTCCATGCTGCAGCCCCCAGGGCGCTGGGCTGCACCCGGTCCTTTGGAGGACATGGAGCAGGATAGAGCACCAGCTCCACACCAGCCTTGCACGGTGGCCCCAGTTGTACCAAGGGCACCGTGGCACTGGGGTCGATATACCGGCCCCTCTGACTAAAGCAGGAACAGCTGTGCCGTGCAAGGAGCTCACTCCCGAGAACCCGGTGAACTAGATTTGGCCGGTGAACTAGCCTTGGCCGTCGGTGGTGGGGCCCAGCTTGTCGTGGTGGTGCCAGAACGCTGCGGGTGCGTGAGAGCGTGCCTACACAGCAGACTTGCAAATCTGGGACCTACAGGAGCTTCATCACTTTCCCTGCGCTCGGTTCCAGGGCCAGCCGGCTGTCCTGACATTTGCCTGATTTATTACACAGGGACAGACGTGTGCGAGCTCGAGGGTGGGGACGCTCAGAGTTTAATTAAGTGTGCATCTGCCTTGGGCGCGTGCCCGGACGCCTTGCGATGGGTGAATCTGAAGATCGATACCCACAGTAAAAGACAAATAGGGTGACACTAATGAGCTCAATAACAGCAACTTGGGAGACAGGCCCTGACTCTGCAGGCTTCCTTGGTGGGGCTTGGGGCTTTGAATGCCGAGGAAGCCTGAGCCGGCCAGGCTGGGTGTGAGCAAACAGGGACCACCACACATCCGGGACCTTCACTGCTGAGCCCCGGCCCCAGGGAAACCGAGGCAGGCCCTGCTCTGACATCACTGCTCAGCAACTCACTTCCTTTGGAGGAAGTGAGGCCTCTGAGCCTCTCTGAGGCTCCATTTCTTCTCAAAGTAACAAAGCAGCCCTGTCACTGGTGCAGGGAGATACATGCATGGGGACAGCACTTCCTGAGCTGTAAAGTGCTATTTGCATGGTGGTTGGTGTGGCCCACGCACAGCTCCCCGGTCAGGGAGGATGGCTTTCCAGGGGGCCAGAGGTGGGGTCCTTCGACCAGCCAGGGAAAGGGTGTCCCTGATCCTCCCAGTGTTGTGGGGGTATAGAGCTAACCACGTGCATGAGAGCTTGCCCGGCCAGGGAGGGCCGGGGTCACCCACCCACCTTGCCCCGGTGCACGCGGACAGGCCAGGGCTGGTGGGAAACCGCAAAACGCCCTTCGATGGCGGGTGGAGCCACACGGGGGTCGGGGCTCACAGCAAGGTTTGTGGAAGCGCCTGCTGCCACTGGGGGGACGCAGCAGCCAAGGGCCCTCAGTCACATGGCCACACGGGGGTGCTGGCGGTCAGCAGGGCGCGCAGGTGGGAGCGTGAGGACGCCCCATGGATGTCTGCCCCCGGGTCCTCAGCCACCGTGTCCCCAGAGTGACCGCTGTTCCTGCCTCTGTCTCATGCCCGTGTTGCTATCTCTTTCTCTTTTTTATTGTGGTGAAATGTATATATTGTGTTTCCCCAAAAATAAGCCCTACCCATAAAATAAGCCCCAGCAGGATGTCTAAGCATTTGCACACAATAGAAGCCCTGCCCCGAAAATCAGCCCTAGTGACCGGCGTGGCTACGCGGTGCATCTGCACAACTCATGCATGTCGTCGCGGAGCAGGAAAGAAGACGAGCAGCCCTTCTCACCTGCCCCATGAAAGCTCTGTTGCTCGACAAGAGAGATTGGGGCCAATGGTTCCAAAGGAAATAGAGTCATAAGAAATTCAGGATGGAGTTCGGGATTTGGAGAGTGATGATGATGTTCCAGAAGACGACTTAACTATATTTGAATAAATGTAGATGGTTGTACCGTACTTAAAAAAAAATAACACATCCCCTGAAAATAAGCCCTAGGGTGTCTTCTTGAGGAAGAATAAATATGAGACCCTGTCTTATTTTCAGGGAAACACGGCAGCATAAAATTGCCATTTTGGCCATTTCTAGTGCACACTACAGAGTGGATCGATCGCATTCACACGATGCTGTGCAGCCGTCACCATGGTTCCCAGAACCTGTTCGTCACCCCAAACAGACTCGGTGACCTTGGGGCAACAACCCCCGTGTCCTTTCCTCCTGCTCCCCGGTAAGTTCTAATCTACTTTCTGTCTCTAGGAATTTTCCTGTTCTAGGTATTTTACGGAAGCGGGCTCATCCGATATGTGACCTTTTGTGTCTGGCGTCCGTCGCTTGGCATCACGCTGTCACGGCTGTCCACAGGGTAGCGTGCGTCAGAACGTCATTGCTCTGCGTGAGTGGACGCTCTCCCATCGCCGGGGGTGCCGCGGTTCTGTGTCTCCGCTCGCCCGGGGACGGACGCTCGGGCTGTGTCACCGTCGGGCCCTTGTGAATGAGGCTGCGGCGAACGCTGGCAGGCAGGTGTCTGTCTGAGTCCCTGCTTTCAGCTCTTGTGGGGACATACCTGGGGCTGCATGGCTAGGCCTTACGGTAATTCACGGTGAGCATTTGGAGAAACCACTCCAATCTGGAACCGCACAGAGACGGGGATTCTGGAAAATGTCAAGCCCAGCCGTGGGTGGGTGTGGCCGCTCCACGCTGACAGCGCAGTCCAGCAGCTCCTGGTCCATTTGTCCGTGGCAGGTTTGAAAGTGGCCTGGTGAGGAGGCTTCTTCCCAACAAGCCCAGGAGCCTGGCTCCTCTGGGATCTGGACGGGAGAATACAAGGAACTGTGATGGGCCGTCATATGGCAGGTAGTCAGAGACCACAGGGGTGCCACTAGGGCTCGCAAGAGTGCGCTTTGCCTTGATTCTGAGTGGCGCCCCAGTTTTGGTCCCAGTGTCCTTGTAACAAACCAACTTGCCTTAAGGTCTCCTTCTCCTAAATGTCTGTGCAGCCAAGACGACCAACTGGCATTGCCCCGTTGGGGAAGCAGGCCTTGGACAAGTTCTTACAGAATCTCCAGCATTTACATAGTGACCTCGGTGTGACTGCGGCCCGGGCCAGCCCTGGCTGGTGAGTGCCCTGGCTGGAGAGCCCTGCCGAATGGGGAAGCTCTGCACTGGATGGGGGCAGGTCCAATCCAGGGGAGAGGTGGAGTGCGGTATAGACTGACACAGAGGCAGAGAGACACGCAGACGTAGTGACCGGCAAGCCGGAGTCTCACAGACACAGCGACCAGCTAGCACAGCGAGCGGCACTGCAGGAGGACGCCGCTGTGTCCTGACTGAGATGCCATCGCTCGGGGCCGCTGCTTCACCTGTGCAGGCACCGCTGGCGCTTCTGTATTCCCCTGCAGATTTCCCGGTAAATCCCATGACCTGCCGAAACTCTTGTCTCTTGTCGCTGCAGGTTGAAAGAGCCTAAGTGAAACATACATGCATACATGCACACGCAGGCACACGCGGGCACACGCATATACACCTGTGCCTGATCATCGTCTCCCTGCATCTCCCCTTCTCCCCGCACCGAGGTTGTAATTAGCAATCCCGGCCATCCCGCTCCCTGAGCATCTATCTCATCCCTGACTAGTACAACCTCTTGGCAACTTCTCTTCGCTCCCGTAAATTACTTACATGCTTGTTTTATCTTCAGCGCGTAGGCCTGCACGATACACGCTGAACCAGAAAGCACCACGGTGTTACAAATGTAGGCTGTAGAGAGTGCCAAACCGGTTAATAAAAATAAAACTAACAAAACTCTTTCCAGGGGTTGAATTAGTAAAGTTGGACAATTGCCTTCAGTTATTTCTGGACCATGACAGAGGATGTGTAAATGTATAGACAGAGGATGTACAAATTTGAACAATGGACTTGGTTGTTTGTTCAAAGTAACCGATAATCAAGCATTACTTTGTTTGATTAATGCTAATAGAACCTGTCTGCATTCCCACTCTCTTTAAAGGTATGCCCCAGAGCCTGAGGACGGGGATGAAGTCGTGCTGTAGCGCGCTGGCCGTGTGTGGGATGTGATGTGTCGCGTTCTGCCTGGCCGTCCCCGGCCTTGGAGAGCCGGGGGCCCCCAGCTGGCTCTGTGGCCGTGGTCCCAGCCGCAGTGGGCTCAGAGGCCTGAGGCTCCCGTGTACCTGGGGCCATTATTTTGTTAGCCGTGTTCATTGAAGTCATGTTTCTTCATCATGTCAGCCAGGGTAAGAACATCGCCTTCTGCTGCCCCCAAGATGAGGAGGACGACCCCCCCCCCGGGGTGCTGGGCCAGAACGCTGTTTCCATCATGCACGGGCTGCGTGTCCCTGGGCAGATACATAGCTGATCCCTCTCGGCCTCAGTTTCCTCAATTCTGAACTGGGGTAATGACGCCTACTGCAAGGTTATTGTAAGGATGATTCTGAAGATTTAAGGTATACATTTCTGGGCCATCAGGGCTACTCTTATTAAGAGTTTCTGCAGTGCTAGTACTTAAAAGAAAGAGAGAATTCATAGACACCTCAGAGTGGCAGCCTTCAGGGTGTCCTTGAACAGCTAGAGAGACGGCCTGGAGCTTTGAACATATTCTTAAAATAATCTCCGAAAGTATAAGAATCACTGCTCTAGTGTTTTCAGGAAATGCTACCGTGATCCCTTTTAGGAATTCTTCAATATTCTTTCTATTATTAGAACCAAACTCAGCCTTTTCCATTTGGCATTAGATTTAGCTCCAGCAGTGTTAGTGGGTCCCACAGTCCCAGCTCTCTTCCTCACGGCGGTTTCCCAGGCGATGTGGGAAAAGTTGAACGCTTTCAACTGTCTTGGTTTGGAGCAGGGGTCCTCAAACTGTTTAAACAGGGGGCCAGTTCACTGTCCATCAGACCATTGGAAGGCCAGACTATAATTTAAAAAAAGCTATGAACAAATTCCTATGCACACTGCACATATCTTATTTTGAAGCAAAAAAACAAACGGGCAAAAACAGCTGCATGTGGCCCACGGGCCGTAGTTTGAGGACACCTGGTTTGGAGAATTGGTCCTACTGCTTGGTTGAGAAATGGCTCCCTTTCAGCTGATGTTTTAGCTCATTATTTGGATTGAACTAATTCTGCACATAACTGAACCTCCCCAACAAAGATACAAATTAATGCCTCCTTCACACAGACTGATTCATGGCCATGTCAGTCTGTTCCTGACCAAGGTGGGCGGGTAATGAAACTCAGTCCCCAGGTGTGCAGTAAACAGCACAATAAACTATCCAGGGTGAAGTTTGTATCTTTTCCTATAAAAATGCATTTAAATTTACAACAGCTGCTATTATTCTATCCAGCTGGTCTGCTGACTGAAATTCCACCTCTAACTAGGCAGTGAAAGAACTTGAATCAGGTGGGGAGTTCATTATATTTTTATATGTATGGATGCACTTTGGAAGGATATAAAGAGGCCATAAAAATGTGTTAAAATTCAAATGGTTTAGATGGTTTTCCTGGTTATTCAAATGCAATAAATGATAGAGTGAAGTCAGGGATTTTTTTGAACTAAACATTTCCTCTCATGTGTGTGCCTCCCTTTCATATATTTGCAGTTAGGCAAATCACAGGCACTAAGAAAATATTTAAGAGAAAAAAGGAAAAAATAAATTCGAACCTGGATAGCTTGTGTTTCTCTTTTGGCTTTTGTGTAGTGCCTACCAAATGTGTGTGAGAGAGTGTGTCTCAGATCCGCTTACTCTTCCACATGACTGGGCAAAGTATATTAGCAGAAAATTGCTTCTTGCAGGAAAAGGTAGAATATATAGGAATACAGTTCTTCGATTTAGACAGTTAGAACCTTTAATCTGTTTTTCTCTTTCTTTTTTTGGTAGACCTGGAGAGAAAATGGTGGGAAGTGTTCCTTCAGCTGGGATAGCTATTGAGAACTCTCTCTCTCTCTCTCTCTCTCTCTCTCCCCCCTCCCCCCTCCCTCCCTCTCTCCCTCTCCCTCCCTCTCCTGCTGTGGCTACAGAAGTTTGATAAAACTGCAGGTTCCTTGAAGGCAAGGCAAGTCAGGTTAGTGTTAGGTGGAAGTTTATGTATTTTAACTTCAGGTTGCAGGAAGTTAGCTTTTTTCCATGTCCATTTTCCTTTAGCTCCTTTGAGTTTGGCCCATTGTCATGGTCACAGGTTTCAGAAATGTGGTTGGAGTTCCTGGCACTCATGCAATCAGGAGTAACAGGGGAATGGTATTTTAAAACTAAGACATGGCCACTGTGTTAGACACGGCTTTGAGTTAAGACATGTCTTTTTAGGAGGGTACCTAGCTTTGTCTTTCTAATCCAGGCAGCCTCAGCAGCTTTGATAAGGGGTAGGAACTCAAGAGTCCATACCCACCGACTCCTACGCTAGGAACTCTCCGAGGGGCTCAAGCCTTCTGGAGACATAAAATTGTTCTTTTAGTTCAATCTGCTCATTTAATATGTATAGAAAGCTGATTCTACAGTATTCCGTATTCTCAATTCCTGCTGTTGACTGATTATCCAATTAATCCTTACGAGACAGAGAAGAGGTGGAAATCGTTTCTCCCATTTTTCAAATGGAACAGACGCGAAGCGGAAAGGAGCCGGGCCGTCGAGAAGGCTCCACGTGAGCCCCGCGCAAGAGCGGTCGGCATTTCCTGGCCTCCTTCATCTGCCAGTTAGGTAACGTCGCCTTGAAAAGGAAGAGGAGAGGATTATGTAATACATGATTCATTTCAAGTATTTAAGGAAGATTTTGAATGTTTGAGGCAGTGGATAAATGAGTTCAGAAATAATGTGTCTAATTAGGAATAAAAGCCAAAAAATACCCAGATGGATGATTTGCAGACTTAGAAAGACAATCATTTTCTGATGCGACGACATTACTGTGAATCTTATTTAGTTTTTATTAAGCTCTTTGCACAGGAAAAGAAGCCAGCATGATCCCCATTGAATTTTCGAGATGACGCCTTCAACCATGACAAATCAATTGCAGCAGATCTTTCAAATTAAAAAAAAATCAGCCAGATCCTCTCTGAAGGGAAGATACAAAAACCTCTTTCCTGCTACACCATCTTCCTAGGATGTCCTTGGAAATGGTGGCTGGAAATTTCTTTGAGTCCATAACTTAATGATTAATGTGTTAGATTGTCAAACATGTTTATGTTGAGAAAAGCATTTTGAGCTCAGTTAATATTAAGAATTATGAATGTCAACACTCATCTGTAATAAGGCTTCTTGTGGCGGGGAACCGAAGTTGATGCAGATAGCTGAGCCTTGATCTTGGCTTATCAAAGGAGTAATAGGAAGGCCGATGTAGAAGGCCACATGTGCTGTTTTCCATCTGTGCTTAGAATTGTAAGATGCACCTGTGGAACCTTATCCTTTAATCAGGATCTTTTTATTTATTTTCTTTTAAGCATTTGAAAACTTACATAAATCATGTGCATTACAGAAAATGCAGAGGAGGTTAAAAAAAAAAAAACAACACAAAACCCAAAACAAAGCCTCATAATCTCACCCACCAATCAGATAAAACCACTATTAAGTTTCTGTACATTTCAGACTTTATGGTTCCCTCGTCAACTGTCAACTCAGAAGCAAAACTGTATCAGATTTGAAACACTTTTCTAGAGTCTGCTCTTCTTACTCAATACGTCAATAAATTACACACCTATCATTATAAATAAAGGTGCTGTTACGGAATTTTGTAGTTATCTCAACTAATTGCTAATCGTGACATTTGGGTCACTTATAATTTTTCATATTGTAAATGCCATGGTAGACACATTTGCCCATGTTCTTTGTCTATTATTCAGTAATTTGCTTAGGACAAACTTTTAGAAGTGGAATCTTTGGGTCAGATGTTTGTGCGTTGTTGAACTGTTGGCTAAATTGCTCTTAAAAATCCCTTAATCAGTTTTATTCTATACTTCTTTTTATACTTATTGCCAAATTGATAGATAACTATTGCATTTGATTGGTTTTGGTGTATATTTTTGTTACTAGCAAAGAACCTTTTTAAATATACTTGTTGGAAACTCTTACAATTATCTCTTTGTGTCCTTTATCTGTGTTTTTATCAGGATGGCCATCTATGTTATTATTTATTTCTAAGAGTTTTAAAAAATATATTAAACATATCTTTTGTAGATGATTTTCCCCAATTGGGTAGCCTCAACATCTTTGACAAGTTGTAGAAATTTTGATTTTTAACAATATGGATTTTATGTTCAGGGGATACACTTTTAGGTATTCAAGCTTGCAGTCTTTTTCTTTAATGGGTTCTGCCTTTTAAAACAGTAACAAAAATCACTTTCGTATAAAGTTATGGAAACATGCACCTACATTTTCTTCTAGTTAATTGTTGTAATATTTAAATTTTATGGCAAAATTTAATCAAACCTAACCATAGTAAAATCAAGCTTCCCCAAATGTTTTCCTTGATTTTATTTGAAAATCTGTTCTTTCCTATTTATTGAAAGACCTGGGCTTATTCCCTTCATTGGCTCAGTCACCCCATCTGGGATAGGCTCATGGTTTATACAGGCGTCCTCAAACTACGGCCCTCGGGCCACATGTGGGTATTTTTGCCTGTTTGTTTTTTGGTTTTGTTTTTTTTTAACTCAAATAAGATATGTGCAGTTTGCATAGGAATTGTTCATGAGTTTTTTTTGAACTATAGTCTGGCCCTCCAATGGTCTAAGGGACAGTGAACTGGCCCCCTGTTTAAAAAGTGTGAGGAGCCCTGGTTTATAACTTTTCCAGGAGACAGGTGTGTGTCCTTCCAGCCAGCTTGACAGCTCCTTTCTCGAGTGCCAGTGGCTCCACCTGGGCCCCTTCGTCCCTTCCAGCTGTTGAGACCTCAGGGCCCCAGCTTCCCTCTGAGCGGAAGCTGTTTTTTCCTCCTCCTCACCCCCGATTTGGATAGCACCAATCTGGATACTTCTGTGAAGTTGTTTCTTCTTTTTTCTTTCTCTCTCCCTCATCGTTTGTGCTATTTAAGAGGCAGTTTTTTCAGATCTTCCTTGCTATTTTTTTTTTTTATCCAAGTTAAACTTCTTACCACTATAGAGAAATAGCCACGGAAATACAATATATAGATAGAGAACAAGAGAAGCTATAAAAATCCTCAAAAGCAGTGGTCCTGACCTTGGTCCCAGCTTCCGGTGAAGACCCCAAGTCTGTTTGTACCTTCCCCCCCCCCAGCAGGCCCTGCACTGTTTTGGTTCTGCCTTTGAGGGATGCTGGGGGGAAGAAGGACGATGTTTTTTTGCTTGGGAGAAGTGTCACCTTCAAAGCTGTCCTGGGCTGGATGACACCCGGCACACTTGGCCTCTGTCCTTCCCAGCAAGGAGCCCCTCTGGGCATGTTCTCAAATACTTGCTCCTGTATATAGCACCTCACTTCCATTTGTTCATTCAAAATTGTTTCTTAAGCAACTGTGATGTATACCCAGGCGATCTAGGTATTGGAAATAGAGGGAGAACAAGCCAAAAGTTCTTGAATTCATGGTGCTCGCATTCCGTCAGGTATTTTCTCTTTCTCCCTCTTTGTGTTTATAGGCTGTGACTTACACACCTGTCCTGCTGCCTCTCCCCAACTCCTCCCACTGGACTCTGCCTTTCCCGAGCTCAGCATCCCGCTCCTGTTGACCATGGATTTCCCAACTGCAGTTAGCATGCACCAGGGACCAACATTCTTGTTGTTGAAGTACATAATCTGCCTTCCTTATGGATTCCATCTTTGTTCTGGAACCCACCCTGTAGTTCCCAAGGGGATTTTGAGAGGGAGAGAGATGCTTCATAAACCCTTACTACCCGCTATAAAAGAATACTTTATAGCAGGGTTTTCTCAACCTGTCACTATTGACATTTTGGGCCAGATCATCCTTAATTCTTATTTGTAGAATGTTAAATGGCACTTGTGGCCTCTGTTCACTGGGGTGAGTAGTGTCTGCCCCCCTCCCCACAACCAATTGTGATAACCAGAAATGTCTCCAAGTATCACCATCTGTCCCCTCAGGGACAAATTTGCATTGGCTGAGAACCCCTGCCTTAAGGATTTGTGGTGAATTAAATATGGCCACAAGATCTTTGCCCACTCCTTGAGACATGAGAGCATCTACATCCCCTCAAATATGGGTGGGCTGTGTGGTCACTTTGACCATAAGTAAAAGGCACAGGGGAGGCCAGGCCAGTTTCTGAGCTCAGGCCTTAAGTGAACACTTGACCTTGGAGTTTGTGGAGCTCTTGGCCACTGTGTAAGGAATCTGGTTGTCCTGAGGCTACCATGCTGTGAGAGCTCAAGGCATGTGGAGAGGCTCTGGAAGACTGTGTGGTGTGTGTGTGTGTGTGAGAGAGAGAGAGAGAGAGAAAGAAAGAAAGAGAGAGAGAGAGAGAGATAAAGACAAACACCAAGGAGCATATAGGCCCAGCTTGGGAATAGACCCTGCAGCCCCACTGTCCCAGATGAGGAGCCATGTGGACCAGAGATGAACAACCTTAGATGAGCCCTTCCTGAATTCCCAGCCTACAAAACTATGCATGAAATAAAGTGGTTGTTTCAAGTCTCTAAGTTTTGGGATAGTTTGCACATAGCAATATATAACTGGAACAAAACTCTTTTGGAAGTCAAGCAATTCAACCATTGGTTATTTATCATACATGAATCACTGATGTAGGTCATTAGTGTAATTTTTCCATGAGCAAAGAGCATGTGGACATCAAGTCCTCTTTTATGACACTATTATCATTCCTGTTTCTGACACGATCTTTGTGTTCTTTCATTTATCATCTCCCTGTTTGGTTGACAATGTGAAATACAGAATTGTTGAAGTGCTTCTCCCTTCCTACTAATATTATTTAGCTTTTAGATTCAAAAGTAGTTAATCATTAGCTAATTCAGAATTTAGAAGGCTGTTAAGACAGCCTTTTAAAATATGCAAATTATACCTTTCTCAATTAGCATTTGATAATAATAGAATAAATGGAAAGAGAACTTCTCTCTTTATTCTATTCTCATTACATTCAAATGTAGTTAGAGGAAAAGGTGTTTGTTAAGGGAATTATTTTGCTCTAAGTAAGTGAGAGAATGTAATTAGAGGAAAATGAAATATACCAAAAGACAAAGAATATGAAATTGTGGGTTTTCAAATACCACTTTCATTTTTTTCCCTTTCTAATTTGAGGGATTATGTTGTGAAACGATGTCACATTAACGCTTGAGGTACCTGTAATGACCTAGCAAAACAAGTGATGAATAAGTGAAGGTGAAGGTCATTCAGGATGGTCCCATGAGTGATGCTGGATGAAGGACAATGACCTGGGCTGGAGCCCCAGATACTGTCTCGGAGTCTCAGTTCCTTTCCCTGGAGAGCAGAGGAGTCATCCCCTGATACATAACAATCTTTAAGTTTTAGGTGAGTTATTCCCAGTTTCAGCAGATACAGCTTATGTTGAAATGCTTCAATTATAATGAAAAAAAAAAATAGGTGAGGAAGAGATTCCTACTAGAAAAATATCAGTTTATTTACTGAAGTCATACGATACGCCCCTGTCCTGCAGGGCCCTCCCAGCTCTGCACAGACGTCCGGGCCCCTGTTTGCCTGCCTCGCATAGTTTCATGTTTCCATGAGCAGCTGTTGATGTCACCTTAGGCTTTTAAGAAAATAGCACATTGTGCCCCACCTGGCCTGCCTCACCGGCTTGCTCAGAGGTAAGTGAAACAGACGTTCTTGACTTTTTTTGTGATGGATCTCTTTGGCCGTGGACCCCTTTTAGAATAATGTTGCTAGATGCATAAAATGCTAAGCTTACAAAGAAAACCCATTATGTTGAAACGCGGTTATCTAAGTGTTAAGAATAAATATTTGCTATACTAACATGCGCTTTATTAATAAATGACAACATCTGGTTGTGCATCGGTAGCTAAGGTGATGTAGAAATTATGCTGAGCATGGAAGAGGTTGCAACAGTTGTGATGTGGAGTGAAAACACCATTGATTTCTCTTGGGACCAAGGCACAGGACTGCTCACTTGCGGTTGTCTACATTCATAACCGAGGCAAATGCTCAAGTTCAGTTAGCAATGAGTGAAAATTGAGATAATGTTTTCCCACACAGAAGCCCAAGGTGTTCTGTCCACGCTCTTTCGATAGTTCCAGAAGGGAGCTCTGCGGCCCCAGGCTGAGGGCTGCATTAGGGGTCGGGTGGGGGTGGTATCTGACAACTCCGCTCGTCCGTGTGTCTCCTCTAGGTGTGCAGGAGGGAGATGCAGCGCAGAGGCCAGGCTGGGCGTTGAGCCCTGATGTCCCACCGGACTCTCCGCCGTCTGGAGAGACCAGCCGCCCTCCCTGCCAGAGCACACCGTTCTTCTCTGGGGTGACCAAGAAAATCACTCAAGAGTGAAATGAAACTCCTTATCTCCCTATAGGATCTGACTCAGTGATGAGAAATGTGAGGGCAATAATTGACCAATCACACATTCAGATGAATAAATTAACCACTGGTGCCAGCAGCAATTTCATGCCATAATTGGACAACAATAGAACTTTTGAAACTCATCCTGCAATGCTGATCGCAGCCACAAACAATCAAACCACAGGGGGCCCACACAGCCCTTTCGGCCGCAGCTCTGGGGGGGACGGCTTCTCCCAGTCGCCTCAAAGGAGGCGTTCCGTGCCAGAATCAGCATTCCCCGAAGTCCTTTGTCCTTCCGCTGCAGAAAGAGAGACTCTGGCTTTCCCAGACCAGGAGAAAAGTCGACTGGGCACGCATCTTTCTTACTGCTGGATAAATGTAATATGCAAAAGCCGAATTGTGTCAAGATACCCCCCACTTCCATGATGCCCTTGTTGCCGGAGGATCAATTACAGCCTCGTTACTGAAAACGAGCTTCCTTGCCACCTAGCACAAATCCACCAACTCTGCAAACTCACTGCTTTCACATACTTCCAGATCCTTCATCTCCGCTTTGTGGTTTTTGCTTGTTGTTTGAAAACTTTAAAGCATGAGAGAATATATCTAAAATG